CAAGGCTTTGTGCATGCTGCTGGGTAGAGGCTGGGCCATGGAGCTACACTCCCAGCACCCTCTCTCTTCTGTAGCTTACAGGGCTTGAATGAGATACTGACGTCATCTACAAGAGAAGTAGGGAAAGCTGCACTTGAAAAACAGGTAAAAGGATAAATCACTCTGTTTATAGTTTCCACTTAATTGTTTCACCTGTTTCTTGACCTGCTATATACAAAAGGCAAAGAGTGTGGGTTTTCCACTATATTTTATTAATATTGTTTATGTTAAGTACTTTGATGATTTAAATCAAATTTAATAGCTTTTGGGGGGAGGCTCGAGACAGGGTTTCTCTTGTAGCCCTTGCTGTCCTGGAACTCGCTCTGTAGACCAGACTGTCCTCACAAATCCACCTACCTCTGCCTCTGCTGGGATTAAAGGTGTGTGTGTGCCACCACCACCCGGGTGATAGGAATTTTTCAATCATGTAGTGTTTAATTTGGAGTCTTTAGCACATTAGTCATATTTTTTTTGTTTGTTTGTTTGTTTGTTTGCTTGGTTTTCGAGACAGGGTTTCTTTGTGTAGCTTTGGAACTCACTCTGTAGTCCAGCCTGGCCTCGAACTCACAGATATATCTACCTGCCTCTACTTCCCAAGTGTTGGGATTAAAGGACCAGCCAATCAATTTTTTTTAAAGTATTGATTAAAAATTATTTTGATTAATCCCAGAATATTTCATAGGATAACATTTATAAGCAAAAAAAGGCTTTGTTCTATCTAATGTATACCTTTTATTTTATAGATAAACAATTAGGCAGTCTCAGGAACTGAATTCAGTTCAACAAGTATTGGTACTTACTATACTAAATATAAAATCAGATAGCCCTGTAGTATCCTACAGTCGGTTAGGTGCTTTTTAAGAACAGCTAATGCTATCATTGTCACAAAGGAGTTCATAGCGTAGTTACATCAGAAGAGAAGGCCTGAGCGCAGAGGATGGAGGACATCCAGCAAACACTGAAACACTGACGTCTGCATCTGGATGGTGAGGGAAGGCTCAGTGAAGGACATGGTTGAAAACCATGAATGATGGGTAGAGGTAGGAGGAAAGTACGGAAAGGAAGGCAGGGAAGTGGAGTTGATGGGGAAGAATAGAGCAAAGCTGAATTTTACATACTGGCGCTACCAGTCAGCCAGTGCAAGGTTCAGTGCTGCACTGATTATCTGGTATAGTGGACTGAACAGGGTGCATAAGACAGATAAACAATGAATTCTTCTGTAAGAAACTCAGGAATCAGAAAAATGTCTCAGAGTTAGAATTATAGGGACTTGATGACTGCTTCTAAGAGATTGAAGAGGAGGAGTGAGTGACAGCCGCCTCCGGGCGCTCAAGTCAGGTACATCACGTGTGTGCGTATTTAAAGGTGCACTAGGAAGAACAGCACACAGGATAGAGCTCCAAGCTAAGACAGACCACTTGCCCGTGTGCTAAATGAGCTTTCGAGATTTGAGGTGGCCTTGTATGTGAGTAACACAGGCCAGTCACCTTGCCAGTGAATCTGAGTGGTTCAAGCTGTGGCGGCTTCTCGGTCCTTGACCTGTGACCTGTGCAGTTGTGAGGGAAGCCAGGGGGAAAGCGCATGCTTGCCTTGGGGTTTCACCTGTGGAGTGTAGGGTTGGGGTGAGATGAGATTGGCATGAGGTTGAGGACCACGCACCTCGGTCACAAAGGGTTGGAGGTCCCCAAATGCTCTGAAGACTGACTGACCTGTATTTCTGTAGATAGAAGAAGTAAATGAGCAAATGAGGAAAGAGAAGGAGGAAGCTGACGCCCGGATGCGGCAAGCATCCAAGAATGCAGAGAAGTCGACGGGTGGAGGTGGGAGTGGCAGTAAGAACTGGTCAGAAGACGACCTGCAGTTGTTAATCAAAGCCGTCAACCTCTTCCCCGCGGGGACAAACTCGAGGTACTTGCTCTTGTGAACATTTTTGGTATATGGTGGGGCCTGGAGATACAGAGAGCCATCCACGTAGCAGCTTCAGCAGAATGGGTAGAGATGAGTTGAGTGTACAAACCCTGCCTTTCAGGGACTGGAGAGATGGCTGCTAGTCCAAAGGTCCTGGGTTCAATTCCCAGCACCCACATGGCAGCTCACACCTGTCTGTAACTCAAGTTCAGTGGGTCCGACATCCTCCCAAAGACATGCAGGTCAAACACCAATCAATGCGTGTAAAAGTAAAAGAATAAATAAATAAGCCTGCCTTCCAGTCAGTTCTGTCTCCGTGGCCAGTGTGAACTCCCTGTGCTGGTCCACTGCACCACCTCTCCACGCATGCAGCAGGCGCGTCACCGTTCCTTAGAAGAGTGGAGGCTGTGCAGCACAGGCCTCAGCTGCTGCCACGGCCTCCTCATGGCTATGTCTCTAGTCTCCATGTGGCGTCTGACTCCGCCTCTACCTCTGGGATTCTAATTCTAGCCCTAGAGATCTGGACTCCCAATGAGCACACTGCGGCACTTGTTTCAGAGTTTGCTAAACCAGAAGTGCGAATCTGTTGTTTCCATTGGGCTTTATTAAAAACAAGATTACAGATGGTTGATTTGAACCTCTTAAGGGAATCTAAACAGTGGTAAATAATAGCATCATTAAACTAACTTAGAGCTCTTTCTGTAGATTTTAACTAACGTCTACAGTAAGAATGTAATAGTTCTTGCTTTGTTTCTCCTTATTAAACTTTTATACTGATTTCTCTAGATGGGAAGTTATTGCTAATTACATGAATATACATTCTTCTTCTGGTATCAAAAGAACTGCCAAAGATGTTATTGGCAAGGCTAAAAGTCTCCAAAAACTTGGTAAGTTAATTTGAGAAATCAGTTTGTTACCTTGGATACATTTTTTAAAGTAATAATCAAAGACAAGATTGATCTGTTAATGTAGTTTTGGTTTTTGTTTGTTTTTTTTTTCTCCCATTTCTTAGACCCTCATCAGAAAGACGACATTAACAAAAAGGCTTTTGATAAATTTAAGAAAGAACATGGAGTGGCCCCTCAGGCTGACAGTGCAGCCCCTTCAGAACGATTTGAAGGTGAAGTATGTTCCTCTGAGTAGAGAAGGCTGATCGTGATTCCAGGCCACCGCCAAAGTATGAGGCCTGGGATCTGTGTCCACAATGACTGGAAAGTGACCTTTGGTGGTCTGAAAGGGATAAAAACAAAGGCTTCTAATCTGGTAGCAGGTTTATTTAACTGCTAGTTAATTGGAACTAGCAGTTTTTGGGATTCCACTAGAGGAAGAACTGATCATTTCAGGGATATTGTTAACCACTCACAGGAAATTATCAGGACATATGAGCAAAACGTGTGTGTGTGTGTGTGTGTAGAATATTTTAAGATGTGTTGCTTTTGTTTCATTTGTTTAGCTCTGTGAAGCTGTGATTCTTTGCCTGTCTAGAGCACCTGATGGTCTAATAAAGAGCTGAATGGCCAATAGTGAGGCAGGAGCAAGGACAGGTGGGGCTGCCAGGCAAAGAATATAAATAGGAGGAGAACTCTGGAAAGAGAGAACAAGAGAGGACTCTAGGGGTCAGCCACCCAGTAACAGCAAGCCTTGGAGTCAGAGTAAAAGTAAGATACACAAAAGAAAAGGAAAAGGCCCAGAGACAAACGGTAGCTGGGATGGGATAAGAAAAGCTGGCTAGAAACAAGCCAAACTAAGGCCAGGCATTCATAAGTGATAAACCTCCATGTGTGTTTCCTTGGGAGCTGGGGGGTGGGCCTCCAAAGAGCAAAGAGCCAAAGAGTAAAACTCCAAAACAAATCAAGGCCTGTTTCCTGGCTTTGAAAGCTGTGTGGTAGGGCAAGTGGATGGCTCACTTGGATAGCAAACCTGAACCTGTGTTCATGCCTGAAGGCCATATGGTTTGTTTTGCGGAGACGGGAGAGGTGCGCACACTTATGCTTGTATTCTTTCTCTCTCAAAGCAAGAAATTTTTTTTTTGAGACAGGGTTTCTCTGTGGTTTTGGAGCCTGTCCTGGAACTAGCTCTTGTAGACCAGGCTGGTCTCGAACTCACAGAGATCCGCCTGCCTCTGCCTCCCAAGTGCTGGGATTAAAAGGCATGCGCCACCACCACCCGGCTAAAGCAAGAAATTTTTATGTGTATTTAGAGATTTGTTCAAATCACACATCCTCTATCGGGGCACTGAGAAGATGCTCCAAGATCATTTTCTACTGTTAAGACTATGAATTTCTAAACAATTTTTTTTCAAACAGGTCCCTGCACAGATTTCACCCCTTGGACCACAGAAGAGCAGAAGCTACTAGAACAAGCTTTGAAAACGTACCCAGTAAATACTCCAGAAAGGTGGGAAAAGATAGCTGAAGCAGTTCCTGGCAGGACGAAGAAGGACTGCATGAGGCGATACAAGGTGTGTCGTTTAAATTACCATTCGCTTAGCGTTCTTACTTGTCTGGTAACTGAGTGACACAGTGCTGACTTTAGTATTATAATAGTCGGGGGGACCAAAATTATTAGAGAAAGAAGACCAACCTTAGAAATTTATCCCTGGCAGTTGGTGACCTCAGCAGCTACAGGGCTATCCTTCTGTTGGTCTGGGGACAAGGTCTCACTGTGTAGCCTAGGGCGGCCCCAGCCTTGCTGTCTGAGCGCTGTGGTGCTAGGCCTGTGCCTCCACACCACTCAGTGCAGCGCTGTGTTTGATGACAGAGTCCTGACTGCAACAACCTTATTTCCTCCTAGGAACTCGTTGAGATGGTAAAAGCAAAGAAAGCTGCTCAGGAGCAAGTGCTGAATGCAAGCAGAGCCAAGAAGTGACCCCAGCAATGTTGGTTATGTGTGCACTTTTCTAATAAAACTGAAAATACTGTACAAATGTTCACGTGGAATTCGAGTCATTTAAATGTGCTGCTCCCAACAGCAAGTTCAACCGTTACACTAAACAGTTGTCAGGGCTGTAGCCTCAGCCTCTGAAAGTGCATGCATAACAGAGCAAAGCAAAAGTCCACATACGTTTTTATTTTTCCATTTGGAGACTGGCAGCTCGATAAATCTCAAGATCTCTAGTTTTATAAATATATATGTGCGCAGAATATTTGATCACAAAAATTAATCACGAATCCAGCGCATGTTACTACAAATCTGCTTAAAATCTGGTAACCGCTCAATAGGACCTACGGATTCAAAAGAAGACAGTGAGAACAGAACCCAAGTCCTTAGCAACTGTGTACACAAGGGGAGAGCCAGACTTACCGAGGGCAGCAATGGCTGGACTTTTGTCATAAATGTACTTGGTACAGACTTCTCGAACCATCTCTGCATTCACAGCCTAAAACGGACGATATCATCAGGACTTTCTGTAGTGAAGATGGATTCTACATGCATGACCTTTCTTCCTTTCTTTCTTTTTTTATTATGTATATAGTGCTCTGGGCACCAGATCTCATTACAGATGGATGTGAGCCATCATGTGGTTGTTGGGAATTGAACTCAGGACCTCCGAAACAGCAGTCAGTTCTCTTAACCTCTGAGCCATCTCTCCAGCCCCATGCGTGACCTTTCTAAACCAAACCATGAGTTAGGGAACCTAAGGATTACTTACATCAATTCTTGCTTCAAGCTCGGGGATGGGAATTCTCCTGTTATAGCATAGCATCTGCCTGCCGATGTCTTCACAAATTGGAGTCGAGCCTGTTAGAGAAGGGAATCTAAGTATCCAGAGAGACGTGGGCCATGAGGACAGCCCATGCACCTCCCACCCGCCCTCAAGGCTCACCGTCAAGCTGCAGCAGCATGTTTGTTTTCAGGAGGTTCTTTGCTCGTGCTACTTCACCCTCGGTCACACTGGTACAGAGTCGCGTCCTAGAACACAGTCGGAATGTTACTAAATGTAACTATACTATAACACAACATACAGATGATTATATTTCAATTCAGTAAAAACCTGAAATTACTAATCCTAAAACTAAAGGTAAAGTACGAATTATTTTTATGGAGTCGCCATGTGAGCTCAGAGAGGGGAGGATCAGTGGTCACCTCTTAGCTTCTCAAGACAGTCAGCTGAGTCTAATAGCCCAGTATTTAAATCAAGAAGCAAGAATATCCCAGTTAGCTAAATTTAGAGACTTAAGACTCGTAATAATGAAAGAAATTTCTAGGAAGCACTGGGTTTTTCTGCCTTGGCCTACTGACTAATCCTTTTGGTCAGTAGTGTTCAACCTATAGACTGTCTATCAGATATTTACATTACAGTTATGAAGTCATTTTATGGTTGGGGCCAGCAGACCAGGAGGAACTGTCCTAAAGGGTCACACCATGAGGAAGTGTGAGAACCACTGCTTTCTTATGCTAAGATCACATTCGCCTGTCTAACCTGCCTTTCCTTTTTCCATTGGGAAATTCCAGGGGTTCAGACCAGGGTTCTAGGTGTGCTAAGGAAGTCACGTGCTCTACCACTGCCCTATGTCTCCACTCCTCGTGCTTTTAGAGGTATTTTCTGAACGTCCGGTTGACTTATAAATATTTTAGAGTATAATTAGCTTCACATGAGGTTTAAAAGAAATATCTGTCCTTTGAAGCTGGAGTTACCGCCGTTAGGACACAGCCTACGATAATAAACTCCAGGTTTCACGTCGTCCCCTCACCATTCCTTCTGCACAGCGTTCAGCATGTCAGCCACCGTCGCTTGTTCACAGACCATGTAGAGTCCCCACAGTCCGGTGTCTGTGTAGGACGTGTTGAAGGACTGGAAGCTGTGGCACAGACTGCCGTGACAAGCCAGCTGGGCCAGCTTGCTGGATAAATTCTGGGAAAAAAAAATCAAGCTTGGTTTGTACACTGGACACATGGATCCAAGTCCACACACACAGTGAGCTCTGGCTGTCAGTGAGTGCCAACCCTACATGGTTAGCCGTTGTGGACACGGTCATCACATAGCCCTGGCTGGCTTAGAACACACTATGTAGACCAGGTTAGAGATTGACCTGTGTTTTCCTCCTGAGTACTGGGATTAAAGACGTACCAAGTTCTGCTTAGGCTCCCAGTTCTACCCAGCAACACCTCAATAGTAACTTTACAATCCAAGGAAGAATTACACTTACCTGCCTCAACAGAGAATATAAAAGCAATGAGTTTTTGTTTTTTTTTGTTTTTTTTGGTTTTTGAGACAGGGTTTCTCTGTAGCTTTGGTGCCCATCCCGGAATTAGCTCTTGTAGACCAGGCTGGCCTCGAACTCCCAGAGATCCACCTGCCTCTGCCTCCCGAGTGCTTGGATTAAAGGCATGCGCCACCACTGCCCGGCAAAGCAATGAGTTCTTGCAACTGGTTTAGTAGGTGCACCCATTTATAGCCTATAGTGCTGTTCCCAGGACACGGAAGGCTCTGATTATGCACCCTGAGGTGATGCTGTACCGAAAGCTAAGATAGTCACAGGAAATGTACTTTGGATCTTTCGGACAAATTTACTGGATTTTGAAATGTAAACATTTTAGAAAAGTTGTAAAAGTAGTACAAAGAGGCCCATGCCTTCTGTCTGCTTTCTTCAGACATACTCCTTCCTTTGTCGGTGGATGAGCCGAGGGCTCGGGCGGGTGAGGCAAGGCACCACTGCACCACAAGTCAAGCCTTATACATTCCCAGAAGTTCAGAGTTAGCTGTGGATTTCCTTGCCTCTGGGGTCGTCAATGTGTACCAATGAAGACAGAGTGCCCAGAAGGTCAGAACATTAACACTGACCACAGTACCTACTGCTACTATTAGAACAGTAAAAACGGATTCTTCTGCCCTTATTTTGTCAACCGTCCCACCAACAAACAGTATGACAAGGTGTTTTTTTTCCTCGCTTAGGTACAATCCAAGAGTCAAGAATCATGGTACAAGTAACCTATTTTTGCCATTTCAAAAATGGGAAGAGCCTTACAAGGAATTCATGTTTTAAAAAAACATGACAGTCTTCCATTTATCATGAAGTTACTTCAAAAACCACTTACCATTCCTCCTCCAAAAGAGCGATCCCAGTTGCCAATCAGTGTGTTTGCAACCATGAGACAGATTGTGTCTGGATGTGCCCAGCCAACCGCTTCAACAGCTATTGCAAGGTGTGCCAAAGGCATCTTGTCGTCCCTCACTCGGATCTGGGTTACAACAAACAAGGTAACTGTCGTGGACCGGTACTTTAACTACGTAAAGCTGTGTTACGTTGACGTTACATTTCCTTAACGAGGTAAAGATGTGTTGCTCTGTCTGCACAAGGCCCTTTTTTGGTCAGGCAGGGCTGGTGAGCAGCGAGAATATGCAGGAGGAGGACTCTACACTCAAGAGAGGAGAGAAAAGGGGGAAAGAGGGAGATGCCCAGGGCCGTCCAGCCAGGCATCCGCCAACCACAGAGAGGAAGCAGTGACAGCAGGACACAGAAGGAAAGGTGAAAAGCCCCAGGCAAATGGGGATGAAGAGAAACAGGTTAAGTTGTAAGACCTAGTGGAGCAAACATAAGGGTGAGCATTCATAACTAATAAGTCTCCATTTATTGGGTTCTACAGATAACTAGTTAAGTAACACTAGTCCTAGAGTTACAGAATAGTTTATTTCACCAGAACACCACATTGGAAATACCACCTGATCAACAGGAGTTGCCTTATTCCGCTAATATTTTATGTTTACTGTGATGTTTTTAACCCACATGTAAGCAGTAAAATGGTACAGCTCTGTGTAGCTGCCAGCATCACACTGCTGTGAACATCACAATGTGGCCAACTAGACCTGATGCCCAGCGCTGCAGCTGATAAGCAGATCCTCCGCAATCCCAACCGTGCCTGTGGGGCAGAAATGAAACCAACACACCCGGTACAAAGGTCAAAATTCAGTCTTTTTACTATAAGATTGTGTTTATACCCTAGCACATGTAAGCATGCACTGTGCAAGAGAAAAACCACAATGAGCAACTGTGAACACTGCTCTCACACCCTGCTTCCTCGGGAAAGAAAAGCAAGGCACTCACGTGAAACAGGAAGAAATGTACGCAAATGCGCCCATCCTTTTCCCTTCCTGTGTTTCAGTTTACACATTTCCCTGCTAGAAATACACACACTGAAAAAGTTTACATCTTGTTTGATGTGTGTGTGTGTGGGCATGGGCAGGATGCTGAGTCCCAAGATGACCAGCTTGGCGACCAGCACCTGTATTTACCCTTGGAGCCAACTCTCCAGCCTGAAACACAGATTTTATACACTCCTCTCTACTTTAACATTTTTAATCCCCTATCCCGTGTGTGTGTGGGGGGGGGGGGGGGGAGCCCAGAGAGGTCAAGAGGGTGTCAGCTTCCCGGGAACTGGAGTCACAGGTGGCTGTGTCCTCTGCTAGTGCAGCAAGCACGGCAAACCACTGAGACATGTCCTCGGGCTCTTTTTTTTTATATATATATATATTTATTATGTATACAATATTCTGCCTGTGTGTATGCCTGCAGGCCAGAAGAGGGCACCAGATCTCATTACAGATGGTTGTGAGCCACCATGTGGTTGCTGGGAATTGAACTCAGGACCCTTGGAAGAGCAGACAATGCTCTTAACTTCTGAGCCATCTCTCCAGCCCCCTCAGGCTCCTTTTTAAGTAGGAGACTTGCAGAGGCTGGACCTAAGGAAGAGCTTGCCTACCTCGCTTCCGGTGAACTCACAAGGAGGCAGAACTGGCACTTCACCTCTGTGTGTGCACAAAGAGTTACCAAAGTGAATCTTGGCCAACTCAAGCAGCTCGTCGTGACAAACACCTAAATTGAAGGAAAATATATTCTTACGTATCAAAAGCCACAAAATCAACTCAAGATAGCCACCTGCCAGCAGTATGCTTTACAGGAAGTATGGCGTGGATCATGTGATGTATCTTACACATGGAGGACTTGCATTCGCTGAGCCTTGGGCTCAAAGCTTTCCCTGAGCAGCTGGTGTTCACCAACAGACAAATGCATTCGACTTTCTTCGTTTTAATTCTACTAGACTTTTTGATAGGTCTCTAAAACTTTTCTGGGCATTATAACTTCATATGCTTCATATAACTTCTAGGAGTACAAATCTCTGCACAGTGAACACCAAGCCAGTTCAAGAGAGTGAGAAATTGTCATTCATCACTTTAAAAAAAAAATATTTGACCCTCAAAAAACCCAGTTTCTATAGACAATCGTGTTAAATTATAAACGTCCAGTGTACACCCTAGTCAAAAGTCAATTTCATAAGTTACCTTTTAAGTAGGGAGGAAGAGAAACATGGTTGAGTCTTCAGAGTTGTACACAAAGAAGTGCTTCGCTCTCGGCTCCAGAACCAAAATCAATTCTAACTTTCAAAAACATGCCTATTTTCCCATGTGCTGCTCAGGACTTGACACCCAAACCTCAGAGGAATCACTTAGATCCTTATTATCCAGGCATGGGACCCACACAAGGTCAGTCAGGAAAGTCACAGAACACAGGTACCAGCTCAAAAGTCTAGACATGTGTTTATGCATTTGAGACAGGCCTGGTCATGCAGTCCAGCCTGGGCTTGGTCTCTGAATCCTCTTGCCTCAGTTTCCAGAATGCTTCAATTCTAAGTACATGCTAGGCTTGTGCAAAGGCTTTAAAAGTATTACCATTAAGATTTATTTAAAGGTGGGCAGTGGTGGCACAGGGCTTTAATCCCAGCACTTGAGAGGAAGAGGCAGGCAGATCTCTTTAAGTTTGAGGCCAACCTGGTCTACAGAGTGAGTTCCAAGACAGCTAGAGCTGTTTCACAGAGAAACCCTGTCTCAAACAAACAAAAAAGATTTATTTAAATGAGGGCTGGAGAGATGGTCACTGCTGCTCTTACAGAGGACCCAGGTTCGGCTCCCAGTACCTACATGATGGCTTACCAAGCATCTATATCTCCAGGCCCAGGCGACCCTACGCCTCCTCCTGACCTCTGCCATCACTAGGCACTACATCTGGTGGACATGCACACAGGCAAGCAACACACACACATGAAAACAAATTTTAAAAAAGGGTTTCTCTAAATGAAAACCAACTAAAAGCAGAGTTTACCCATAGTTCCCAAATAAATCTGTGATGTAACCAAGCAGTGGTGGCTCACGCCTTTTAATCCTAGCACTCTGGAGGCAGTGGCAGGTGGATCTCTGAGTTCGAGGTCAAGCTGGTCTACTGAGCAAGTTCCAAAACAATCAGGGCTACACAGAGAAACCCTGTCTCAAAAACAAAACCAAGCCAAACCAAAACAAAAAGCTGTGATGTAAAAAGCACGACAGCGAGGCAGCACAGTTCTTGAACTGCCATGGAGGAGTCGCCTTGACCATCAGCCCAGAATCATGGCGGGACAAAGATGCCAGAGAGCAGAGAATCCATCACACAGCCCTCGCCCCTGTCCGTCACTGTTTTGCCTTCAGAACCAGTAACTGTCGTGGTTAAATAAGCCAGAAGCACGCTCTTCTCTGACAGCCCAATCTAGAAGGATGTGGGGATGAAATTGTGTATTGGTACAATACAGCTATACTTCCTAGTAACTAAGGACTACATGGGAGCTGAGACATCTAAAACACCAACACTTATAAACTATGGCATTTGTAAGTCATCAGGAATTGTGGCTTCAGCTGTGACTGAGGCAGGAGGATGGCTTTAAGTGCAAGGCCAGCCTGGGCTATATATAGCAAGTCTGTTTCAAAACAACAAAAAATGTGTAGCTCAGTAAGACAAAATGCTAACAATCTAGGCCATACCATTAACTTTAATGGACTTCAGGACCTACACAGAACAACTCCAAAGTTCATTACATCAACTTGTTTTAGTTTGTAGTAACTCCTAAAAAACACACAAAACTAATATACTCTAATATTGAAAGAGAAAATGGGCAAGTCAATTAAAATTCAGGCTGCCAAGAAATCAAGTGAGAACTCACAGGAAATCTGCTGCACCTACATGTTCTGACTGACATTACACATTCTCACGGCTCCCAGTGTACTTTCCTTATAGGACCAGTTGCTTTACTGAGTAACTGAGCACATGAATAGCTATACCCATCCCAGGTTCAGCCAAGGAGAAAGCTATTTCTCAACTAAAATCTCAAGACTATAATTACACAACAGTCTCCCAAGTTACCTGCTTCCGCGCGTTCATTCATCTGCCTTTGTCTTCTAAGAAACTTACACTGTTAGGCACGCTTGTGTGTTGAATGGGTTGTTAAGGTTTCTGTAAATGAAACCTACTAAAAACACAACAGGGAGTCTGGTCCAGTGCTCACACTTAAACACTTTCAGGATGCGCCCCAAGAGGACCCAACAACCTTGTCTAGCGCAGACAGAGGAACAACCAACCTCCAGCAGCAGCGAGCACAATCCTTGGTCCTTTGTAGTGCGTGGTTATGTAATCCACTAAGTCCTTCCGGTTTATAGACCTGTAAATAAAGGAGTAAGATTACTTTATTTCATTTCATTTTATAGACAGGGTCTCAGTTCTTGGAAAATATTATCTTAAGGTGTGTTTACACTGTGTTTTTTTAACTCTGAAACTGTGATTCTCTGTCTTTAAAACACCTCTTGGTCTAATAAAGAGAACAGCCAACAGCAAAGCAGGAGCAAGGGTGGGTGGACTGTCAGGTAGAGAGGATAAACGGGAGGAGGAGCAAGAGAACAAGGAGAGGAGGACACCAGGGGCAGCCACCCAGCCACCCATATACACAGAGAAAGAAGAAAGAAAGGTACATAGAGACAGAGAAAGATAAAAGCCCAGAGATAAAAGGTAGACGGGATGATTTAAGTGAAGAAAAGCTGGCTAGAAACAAGCCAAGCTAAGGCTGGGCATCCATGACTAAGGAGAAGCCTCCGTATGTGGTTTATCTGGAGCTGGGTGGTGGGCCCCTCAAAAGCCAGAGTAAAGTGATCCATGACACTCATTCTATAGCCAGGCTGACCCAGAACTCAGCAATCTCCCTGGTCATAGGCCACCACACCTACAGGAAGTACAAAGCACAGCCCCTCACACAGTACATCTGAAATGAATAGAACTCGAAGGCTTTCTAAGTGCTGAAAGTAGCAAAAAGTGCTGCCTTTTCTATCGAGACATAATCAACATTTCTTGTTTAGCTCCCAGTTTTCTATGAGTATCATTACAGCACAATCAGTCACAAGTTTAGATTATCCGAGTGAACACGACTTTCTGAAACACAGAAAGTTTGTATATGTCATAATTTTTGTGCAAAATTTTCAAGTGAGAAATACACGAACTTGATATTTTCAGTTGGTCCCAGGATGGTCCGCCCAAGCGCAGTGTTCTGATAAGCTGTGGCGTGAAGGTAATCAAACACAACTTCCTGCAAGTTGGTCTCAACTTCCTGCATCTCTCTGAGGATCACTCCACGTTCACGCTCAATCTCTGCTTCCCCCAGCGTGCTGTTCTGAATTATGTCAGCAAGAATTTCCACAGCTAAATGAAATTAAAGCACCAGAAACACAAACATTACAATCCCTTAAGCCAACATCAGAAACCTTGACACTAACCATCATTCAATATTATTAATTAGAACATTTAATCCAATTATCACATTAAAATGAATGCAAAATAGAAACTCTATGGTATAGAAGACCTTGGGAAAATCCTAAATGTTACCACTTCTTATTAATTCTGGGTCAGACATCCTAAGAAATCTTGCTGCTAATACAGATGGTTCTAAATAAAAAGTATGAACTAGCCTGGCAGTGGTGGTGCACACCTTTAATCCCAGCAATAAGGCAGGCAGAGGCGGGCGGATCTCCGTGAGTTGGAGGCCAGCCTGGTCTACAGAGTGAGTTCCAGGACAGCCAGGACTACACAGAGAAATCCTGATTAAAACACTCCCCCCCCCCCCCCACACACACAAGAGTATGAAACAGAAGATGATGTGTTAAGAGAGAGAACAGGTACATGCGCAGATACACGGGTAGAAACACTGCTACCCACATTTGCATAGCAATGAGGCTGCAATGTAAGAAAGGAAAAAAAAAACACTATAACCCAAAATATGTCCTCAGGAGCCGCTTACAGAACTCTGTCTGCTGATGTCCTAGCTTGGTAGGAAGTCAGAGGTGGAGCAAATTTTATGGAAAAAAATTACATCCCCCAAAAAAGATACCCTCGTTGCTATAGCAATATAAATTTTATTAAGGGTAAAATAAACTTACAACCCTAAGTTTCATTGCTTTGTTCCAGTATAAATTTCTCTCTTGTTTCAGTTCATTTTTTGAGGCCTTGTCTGAGCCAATTAACTTCAAATGTGAACAGGATAAAGCAGGTGGTTGGAGAAAGTTCATACTGAGATGGTCATGAAATAGTGGAAATTACCATGAAACTAGTTAATTTTTTTATAATTATCACTAACACCCAGATGAGTTGGGTGGTGATGCAGATGCTCACAGCGACCTGGCTGCCACCCAGGCATCTGGACCTGAGTTCCACCACCAGACGGGAGCACCTCTCTTCCAGCGCAGAGACAGGACGAAGCATAACGCTTGCTCTCCGGCAGTCTAGACAAACCTGGGCCAGCCAGGCTCTAAGTAAGGCCTGGCTCAGAAAATAGTGTGGAGAGCTTGATGTCAATCACAAACAACAAACAGAGCACTGCAGAGAGTACCACTCAAGTGATACTGACGAAATCCTACCGTAACTAAAACTTTAGAGCAATAAAACAGATTACAACTGTTTAATCACAAAAGTTAATAATTTCATTTTAATTTGGTTTTAATTCTTCCCTAAGAGCATACACCCTCTAGGTCTGTTTTTTATTTATTTATTTATTTTTAAATAATAGACATACAAAAACCACAGTGTTAAATTATGTCTGAACCCTCATGGAAACTACATTTTCCGCAGTATAGGTAACAATACCTCTTGGCAAATCTTTAGAGAAAGCTTTGGCATAGTACACGGTCTGTTCTCTGGAGGTGTAGGCGTTAAGATGAGCACCCATATTTTCAATCTCAAGTTCAAGGTCTAACTGGGACCTCTTTTTAGTGCCCTTGAAATAAAGGAAAAAAACACCATTATGACATTTTCCTTCTATCCTTCATCTAAACACTTTAGACAGTAAGTGTACAACAAAAGCCAACGCCAGTCAGGCAAGGTCAAGTTTGTAGAGTGTACTAGGTTTCAAAAAATACCCACTGAGGATGGCATTTGTGTATTCCTGTATCCCAAAAGAGCACCCTTCTTTCAAAGTCAGAAAGCAACTATCAGTAATTATTTCACAAATACTGGAAAAATAGAAACATGGCATCCACTGAGATCATCTTGTCCTTACAGTGCAGTATTTTTACACTATTTCAGCAAAGCCTCACAACTTGCCTTGAAGGCCATGTGCTCCAGGAAGTGAGCTGTTCCGTTATTCTTCTCGTTTTCATATCGGCTCCCAGCGTCAATCCACAGCCCAACCTGAATGGAACCACAGAACGATTAGGCAAATCCCTGGCAGCTGGCGAGAAGATGCAGCCGCTAGTAACACTCATAGCTCTGAGGACCCGACTGCGCTTCCCAGCACCAATTTAGGCAGTTCCTCTTCTGACCTCCGTCGGCACCTGAACTCACATGTCCCCCACACAGACACGTTATTAAAAATCATACAGTAAAATTCAGTTTGTGGAGACAGAAGGTAATTTCAGTCCTTTTTCTGGCAAGTGTTTTCCAACCTTAAGTTTTCACTTAAGTTCTCTTGGACCACACTGAACTGACAGTTCATTCATAGGACTTGGGACTTGAAATTTTCAGCATCAGGCTACTGGTAGCTATTATAAATATGGGACTCAGCCACACAGTGGGGGAGCACGGCTTTAATCCCAGCACCCAGAAGGCAGAGACGGTGAATCACTGAGTTCAAGGCCAGCCTGGCCCTGGGATACACAAAGAAACCTGTCTGGAAAAACCAAACAAATATCAGACTCAAATTCTTAACATAGCTCATTAGTACATCCAATTAATAACTGTGGTATAAACACCATCAGAACTGTCAGAAAGTCAGGTTCAAATTCACATGTAAGGGGGGCTGGAGAGATGGCTCAGTGGTTAAGAGCACTGACTGCTCTTCCAGAGGACCCGGGTTCAATTCCCAGCACCCACATGGCAGCTCACAACTGTCTGAAGATCAGTTCCAGGGGATCTGACACTTTACACCAATGCACATAAAATAAAGTTAAATAAACCATAAAAATATTTTTAAAAAAAAGTTCACATGTAAGTTTTATAACCTCAGACACAACCATTTAAGGTCTCTGAAATATCAGTAAAACGGATGAGAGGAGTTTTAATACTGCGCTGTGGAATCTTATTTGAACTAGACAAAGATGTATCACATCTGTTCATGCTGAAGACTAGTACTTCAACTGTGAAAAGGTGTGCTGCTTTTATCTATGCTGCACAGAGAAAAGTCTAATTTTTTGGTTAAACAAGATTGTTTAATTCTGTAAGGATGTATTCCATCTGTTTCCCTAAGGCACCTGACTGGTCTAACAGAGAGCTCCATGGCCATTAGCTAGTCGAGAAAGTAGAGGAGGGGCAGGCAGAGAGAATAAAGAGGAGAAATCTGGGCTGAGGAAGAAGAACAAAAGAATGAGAAGAGGGAAGAGGGGGACACGCCTGGGGCAAGAAGCCAGGCAGACTCAGAAAAGCAGTGAAGGTCGGAGATACAGAAGAAAGGAAATAAGCCCCAAGGGAAAAGGTAGGTAAAGAGAAACAGGCTAAATTAGGAGCTGGCCAGAAATGCACCTAAACGAGGCGGATCATTCCAAACTAATTGTCTGTGTCTTGATGTGGGAGCTGGCTGGGGCCCAGTGCTGTGTACAGGAGGGCGGGAGAGCCCCACAACCACGCTTCTGTCAACAAAGACAGACGGAAAGCAAAGCGAGAGAGGTTCACACTCCCAGAGAATCAAGGCCAATCAACTTGCCGCGAGTCTGCTCCCTCCCAAACGAGGCGCCCTTAGGTGAAAGGCTATTGCAGTCGCTTACTGTACACGTTGAGAGCCCAGAGTTTTCAGAGGCGACTCGGAGTCCATTTTCCAAACATGTAACACGTGTCTCGGGAACATTCAGAACAACCTGAGCAGCAGCCTGTGTGCTTCTTAGTCGGCTCCCTCCACAACACCACGGCTAACAGACACAGGAGGAAAAGGGAGCAAACACTACTTACTACTCTGTTATGCAATGTCAATCAGAAAGAAAGACCTCAAGCTCATTCCATAAAACACTCTCCTAGACTGGAAACAAAAATATAAAAATGACTTCACAAAAATGTAACAGGAAGCTAAGGTTGCAAAGGAAATGTGGGTAGAACCCTATCAGACTGTAGACTGTCACCCATCACACGGTAGACTGTCACCCATCACACCGTAGACCGTCACCTATCACACCTTAGACTGTCACCTATCAGACTGCAGACTGTCACCCATCACACCGTAGACTGTCACCCATCACACTGTAGACTGTCATCTATCACACTGTAGACTGTCACCCATCATACCGATACACTGTCACCTATCACAGCGTAGACTGTCACCCATCACACCGTAGACTGTCACCCATCACACTGTAGACTGTCACCCATCACACTGTAGACTGTCACCCATCACACTGTAGACTGTCACCCATCACACCGTAGACTGTCACTCATCACAGCGTAGACTGTCACCCATCACACCGTAGACTGTCACCCATCACACCGTAGACTGTCACCCATCACACCGTAGACTGTCACTCATCAGACCGTAGACTGTCACCCATCACACCGTAGACTGTCACCCATCACACCGTAGACTGTCACCTATCACACCGTAGACTGTCACCTATCACACCGTAGACTGTCACCCATCACACCGTAGACTGTCACCCATCACACCGTAGACTGTCACCTATCACACCGTAGACTGTCACCCATCACACCGTAGACTGTCACCCATCACACCGTAGACTGTCACCCATCACACCATAGACTGTCACCCATCACACCGTAGACTGTCACCTATCACACTGTAGACTCACCACCTAGTAGTTCTTTCTTTTCATAGTGAAATAAGAAAAACGTATTTGCTACATCCTGACCCAAAAACCTGAGGTCAGCTTAACCGTCAGGCATGCAGGGTAGTGCAGTGGTTTGCAGAGGAATGGCCCCCAAAGACTCACAGATCTGAAAGTTTGGTCACCGGGGTGAGGAACTATTAGGAGGTGTGGTCTTGCAGAGGAAGGTTTCCAATGCTTCAGGCAAGCCCGGAGTCTCTCTCTTCCTGCTCCCTGCCAATCCAGCTGTAGCTCCTCCTCCAGTACCACATCTGTCTGCACAGCCCCATACTTCCCTCAGTGACGATAATGCACCAAGTTTCTGAACTGTAAACCAGCCCCAACTAATATGTTCTCCTTTACAAGAGTTGCTGTGGAGACCCCAGATAAGACAGGTACTTAAGGAATTTTTGTTAACCTGAACTACTGTTTCTGTAACCACGAGGCTTTCTGCTGCCAGATCAAACAGAAGTACCATAGTCACTCGTGTGCCCTATTATTATTAAAAGTTCATACCCTGGGCCAGTTGGTGGCACACGCCTTTAATCCCAGCACTTGGGGCAGGCTGACTTCTGTGAGTTCAGCGCCAGCCTGGTCTACAGAGTGAGTTCCAGGTCAGCTAGGACTACACAGAGAAAAATAAACAAGAGAAAAAAAGTTCATCTTCGGTCACGCTTGCTAACAGACATCACGGCTACCAACGAGATGTCCCAAACTTGTGTTTTACCTGTATAAAACCCCTGCTCACCCTGCTCAGGCCACCTCTTTAGACTTGTGATAAAAAAAAGAGTGCATGCCCCAGGCCCGGTCTGTGTGGCTCAAATAAAAACTTCAAATTCATAAAGGGCTCGCCCTGGTCTCCTTCTCTCGGGTGAGAAGGGCTCGAATACAACATTGGTGAATACAACATTGGTAATAACACACGCACGCACACACATTCCCAGATATCTTTGGAGCAATGAAACTTTCAAATAAACTGAGGATTAACTTGTCTTAAGCAGAAAAAAAGAGGCAGCATTCCTCACTGCTCTCCCCCAGTCTGCAAACACTAGCACTTTAGTGGTCAGCCCCTACTCCTTCCTAGACCCGGGCAGCCGCCCCCGCCCGCGGCCCCGCCCCCGCCCCCGCCCTGTGGCCCCGCCCCCTCTTGCAGCCCCGCCCCGTCCCGTCCCGCGGCCCTGGGTAGGGGTGGAGGGACCCGGAGGTCCCGGAGTTCCCGGAGCGCAGCGGCTTCGTCCCCGGCGCGGCGGAGCGAGGCTCACCTGAGCAGAGGCGCCGCCATGTGGGAGCCTTCGGCTGAACCCCCACAGCCGCCGCTGGGCGGCAGAGAGCAGCGTCCGGGAGACCGCGGCGGCCGCCATATCAGCTACGGGGGGAACTGGAGAGGTACTTCCGGGTCGTGACTCCAGGCCCCAGAGCAGGAGGCTGACTGGCTGGCGCCCCCGTGTGGCCGCCGTGGGAACTACAGCCTCCCGTTCCGGTTCTCACCGACTGGGGCCGTCAGTTGTGCAAGGCACACGCGTGACAACATGAATGTAACCTGTGTCCCCGAGGCGGGTGGAAGTCATCGGAAAGAAGCACACGGGAGGGAAGGGTGCGATCATGTTGGTCCTCCTGACTGTTCTATTGTTTACAGCCTTGCTTATTCCGTTCCGCAGAAATAATACCTCTGCCGAAGTCGCTACTGAAAGCGGACATTTGCAAAACCTACTCTTCCATTCTGTTAGCGAGACGTAGTGTTGTTTGCCTCCAAGGGCTTAGTGTGTCTTAGCACTCTACCTAGGCAATCTGGGCTTTCTCACATCCCGGGCACCTCTTTATCCATGAACATGTTAATGAAAGTAAAATCAGCAAGCATTTTTTTTTTCATGAATTTAAAAAAAAATATTTATTTATTTATTATGTATTCAGTGTTCTGCCTGCAGGCCAGAAGAGGGCAGCAGATCTCATCATGGATGGTTATGAGCCACCATATGGTTAATGGGAATTGAACTCAGGACCTCTGGAAGAGCAGCCGCTGCTCTTAACCGCAGAGCTCTCTCTCCAGCCCCAACAAGCACTTTTTAAATTAAAAAAAATTAATTTAATTTATTATTATGGGGAGGGGGTGAGTGCATGCCACCACATACGTGCTGAGGTCGGAAGGCGACTTTATGCAATCAGTTCTCTCCATGTAGAAACCATTACATGAATTCGGGGGGTGGGACTCCGATGGTCAGGCTTGCCCTGCAAGTGACTTTACCTGCAGAGCCACCTGGCAGCCCCCTGGCAAGCTCTTTTTTGTGAGGCAGAGACATGATCGTGTTAATTTTACAGATGTAGGATCTGGGGTATTGACTGCCTAGCAAGTTGTTTAGTACACACACTAAAGAATGTGTCCTGTACTCTAGGAGATGGTGTCCTATCCAGCTTGTCCCCTCCTTGCCTAATGCCGACTGTACATTATCTTCCAGGTGCCCCTCCCCACCTGAGGACCCGTCTTCCCCACCCACACTCCTAACTACTGAACAACAGACTTGAAAGTCCCGTTGGCACATCTGTGTTAATTTGTACAAAACAGAAATCCTGACTTTCCCCTAAATCTCGCCCCGTAGCTCTAACCAACCACAGGTCCCTCCATCCTGATATGGAAACCCGAAGATCCAAGTCATCTTCAGCCCCGCGGTCCTCTGACCCCCACAGCGCTCTGTTGCTATCTTATGGATAGTAACCATTCTCACTGATGTTTAAACACCTGCGCACCAGCTGGCCTTGCTGTATGAGAAGGTGATGAAACCTTAGGCAGGAGAGCTCCAGGTAGAAGTTCTTCCCTGGGGCAGCCCCTGGAGGTCTGTAGCCTGGTCTACTTCCTCATCTCCCCGTCTTGAGTTGTGATGCCGTGTGATGCCCCACTCCTGCTGCCATGCCTTCCCATCACGATGGATGCATGCCCTCTCAAAATGCCGGGTGTTTTACCACAGTGACGGCAGGGAAGCCAGAACAGATGGAATCTCAGCACACTTTGCGTTTGCATCTCTAAGTGTGGTGAGAATTTTTATTTCAAATATTTAGTGCTCATTTGTACTTTCTTATTTTTTTTCCTTTGGTTTTTTTGAGACAGGGTTTCTCTGTAGCTTTGGAGCCTGTCCTGGAACTAGCTCTTGTAGACCAGGCTGGTCTCAAACTCACAGAGATCCGCCTGCCTCTGCCTCCCAAGTGCTGGGATTAAAGGCGTGCGCCACCACCGCCCGGCTCATTTGTACTTTCATTTTAAATTCTTTTCCAATTTTTATTTATTTATTTATTTATTTTGGTTTTTCGAGATAGGGTTTCTCTGTGGCTTTGGAGCCTGTCCTGGAACTAGCTCTATAGACCAGGCTGGTCTCGAACTCACAGAGATCCGCCTACCTCTGCCTCCCGAGTGCTGGGATTAAAGGCGTGCACCACCATCACCCGGCCTTTTCCAATTTTTGTATGTATGCGGTACACATATTTTTGGTGGGACGATGTATGTGTCCGTGTGTGTGTGTGTGACATGCTTATGTGTGGAAGCTCAAAGGTGACATTAATAATAGGTTTTCTGTATCATGATAATAGGTTTCTTTGCCAATGCACTAAGCCAGACCAAGCCAAACTGAAAGAGTAAAAGAACGGGTTTGAGCAAAGAAACTCCAGGGTGAGTTCTCCAGTTCCAGAGGTTGAAGCAGAAGTCAAGCACCCGAACTAAAGCTGGGAGGTTATATAGCCTGCAGGCGAGGGGTGATTGTGTATCCCAAGCTGGGTTTGCGCCCAAGTATACTCAGAAACTGAATGCTTTAGGTGGGGCAACTTCAGGGGAGCTGCTGCCACAGCGGTCAAGAATGCAGAACTGGGCTTTCTGGAGATTTTCTGAGAGGGTGGGGTTGAGAGAGAGATGGGGGGCTTCTTAGACCCTGCAGGAGTGACCTGGGAGTCGTCAGTGACCCCTTCCACCTTGTTCAGATAGTTTCTCTAAACCATGAGCTCACTGATAGGACTGGTCTCTCTGGTCAGCTTGCCCGGGGGACTCCCTGTCTCTGCCTTCCAAGGCCGGAACAACAGGCAGACCACCAAGCTCAACAAGTTACCTGGGTTCTAGGCATCTGAACTCTGGTCCTAACACTTGTGTAGCAAATACGGTAACCATTGAGCCATCTCCCTGCTCCGCATTTCCGATCTTTAAGGAAAAGTTTTCGGTTTCTCTTCATTTAGTATATAGTTTTTTTTTTTATATTTATTTATTTATTATGTATACAGCATTCCTTCCATGTATGCCTGCAGGCCAGAAGAGGGCACCAGATCTCATTACAGATGGTTGTGAGCCACCATGTGGTTGCTGGGAATTGAACTCAGGACCTCTGGAAGAGCAGGCAATGCTCTTACCCTCTGAGCCATCTCTCCAGCCCTAGTATATAGTTTTTATAGGTTTATCATGTATAGTTTTCTGTAGGTTTATCACATATAGTTAGCTACAGGCTTATTATATATGGTTGGCTATAGGTTTATTGTATATAGTTAGCAATAGGTTTATTTGTATAGTTAGCTATAGGTTTATTTGTATAATTATCTATAGGTTTATTGTATATAATTGGCTATAGGTTTATTTCTATAGCTAGCTACAGGTTTATTGTATATAGTTGGCTATAGGTTTATTGTATATAGCTAGCTACAGGTTTATTGTATTTAACCTCTATTATTTTGAGATATGTTCCTTCTATTCCTAGTTTCTCCAAAGATTTCATCATGAAAGGACTTCATCTACTGTCATGGCTGTGTGATTCCCATCTTTGTAGGGTATTACATTTGTAGATTTGCAACATCCTTGCAAATTGCTGGCTGCACAATCCCAGGCTGTGTTTACATCCCTGATGCCCTGTAAAAGCTGTGTGTGGTGGCATTGGGCTACAGAGATAGGTGGATACCCTGTGGGGGACTCACTAGCCAGCCAGTCTAGCCCAGCAATAAGTTCCAGGTTGTTTAAGAGACCACATCTCAAAGCACAAGGAGGAGGGCAATAGAAGATACCTGGTGTTAACCTCTGACCTCCACAGGCTCATGAGCCCACGTGTGTGCACACACATACACACAAAACCTGAAGGGGAAGAACCTATGTATTATTAAATACATGAAACAAGTTCATAGAAAGCTAGTGAAACATAGATATAAATGGATCGTGTTATGGTCAACTTTTTTATTGTGATACTGTATTATACTGTTACTATGGGGCAGCCTAGATTTTTAAAATATATAAAATTTGACTGGACGTGGGGATGCACGTCTTTAACCCCCACACTCAGGAGGCAGAGGCAGGCAGATCTCTGTGAGTTTGGGACCAGCTTGGTCTACAAAATGAGTTCCAGGACAGCTAGGGCCGTTACACAGAAAAACCCCGTCTCAAAAAACGAAAAAACATAAAATGTGTTAAAACTGCCGGTGAATCCGTAATTATTGTAGCACAGAACGTTTAACTAATTAAAAGGAAAAAGGGCGCCAGCAAATCACTTTTTCGTGGGAAGGGAAAGGCTACCGCTTCCTCCCTATTGGTCTTGATGTATTACAGTCGCAGGCGAAAATGCACCCCTGCACGCATGCGCACACACATTGGTCACAGAGCTTTTTAGATAAATTGGAATAGGAAGGGGATTTGTGAGTTGTTCGTCTGTCTATAACTAATAGGGTAATAAAGGGAGCAGCACACGAATCGGAGCAAACATCCTCGCCTATCTCCCAAAGCCTTCCCAATCCAGCCTGTTCTCAATGGCCCCTGGTGACAAGGAAGTGATCCGTGTGCTGTGACGTATGTAATGTGACAGGCGGAGCAGCTCCCTGCATCCTTTGTGCAGTCTGGACGCAGGGACATAACCCAGCTTTATCCCCTGTGTCTCTTGCCTCCTGATAGTGGTTGTACCGAGTGGGCAGCCGGCCATGAGTTGGATGTATAATCACCATGGGAACCGAGGCTACAATCAATCCCTGGGAATTTGTTGTCAAAGCACAGCACGTCTTTGCATAATCTCTCTGTTCTGAGTGGTTCCATTTGAGTGAGTGCCCAGTCTGTGAGTGCAGATTTGTCCTTGAGTGTAACCGTTTACACGGGCATCTCACGCTCCACGCTTCTGCCTTTGTAAACTGTTACAATTTATCACAGTTGATTCCTAGAAAACTGCAACAGAAGAAAATAGAAACAGTATCTGAAAACCCCAGCCCATCTCAATCAAGCCAGCAAGTGTCCTCCGTAGGAACCTTGGCCCAGGATCCACGTTAGTAAACTCTGATTCCTGACTTCTGCTTCATTTTCCTCTGATGTAAATGACCCCAAAGTGTAAGGCTCTTTCTGTGCCTGGTGGTCTTCTCTTTCTGGGGTACATGAATTGAGATTTCTCTCATTTTGTTGTCCAGTTGGT